AGCACCAAATGTCTGTGGCATCAGATCAGCCAAGGCTCTTTTTGAAAAATTTAGCCATACTCCCCCACATCTTGCTAACTTTACAATCCCCCATGGCATCTGTGTGCAGTGAACTGAGCTGTTGAGACTAAATGCAATTTGCAATCAGGCTTCTGTTAACGTGGAAATGTACCGGCTGCTCTCCTGCAGTATGGATTCTCATGCTGTCTAGCATATGGTAGTGTTAAACCCAGTCTGGAGTGCCTCTCGTTACCACACTGTTGAGTGGAGAACCCTGAAAAACAAGTGTGAGAGAAGTGTATTTTGGGAGCCAGCTCTCCTCTAGCACAGCTTGTTGGGAGCTATCAAAAGGAGACCGTACCTCAAAAATTGGCCCTGACAGCCGTCCAGGCAAGCACGGGAAGCTGACTTGAACACTGATGCAAAAACCGTGTACTTACCAAGGCAGGTATTGCACAGGGAGAAGGGGACAAGGAGAATCAGACAAGAGCAAGTTCATTATTAACAAGTTAAAAAGCTAGAAGCAGTCTATTCTTCTGCTCCCGGTATGGGAGAGATTTTGATTCAGGAAGATAGCCTTGGGTATGAAGCCATCAGTTATGTAAAGACTTGATATAAATGTAGGAAAAAAAAGAACTATATCCATCCATGGAGGGAACAAACAGGTGAGTCTTTTAACCATTAAGTGTTCAATTCCAGCTTTAGTTCACTGTGTAGCACATAAAAGTAGTTGTGGAATTTCTTCACTGTTAGCATGTCCCCCTTTGTCATGTAAGATAGTTTAATTTTAATTTTGCTATTTGAGTGATATGAATAATTCAGAGTGTTTTCTCACTGTCGGCTCTACATGTCCTCGTCTCTTCTTCCCTGAGGCGCTCAGAGCACTGCCCTCAGTGAAAAAGATACAAGTTGCATCTGAAGAGAATTGGGTTTGAGGCAAGTAATCTGTTGCTGTGGGCCAGCAGGGACATGGCATCTGAGTCATAAGCTCACAGTGCTGCTTATTCATCGCTCTCTTTGGTCAGTCCCACCCTGAAGACCACAAGCATCTGTTCTACGATGTACGCCCATGTTATTTGTTACTTGCAAAACCGCCAATTTGTTTGGTGCCCTGAGCCTTTGATGTGTGAAGAATCTCAGCTGTGGGCTGTGGCCAGAAGTAAAAGTTATCAACTGAGTGCATTTGATCTTAACACCTGTTTTTCTTAGACACTTCTCTGAAAATTTCTCATGAGTGGAAGTTCTTTCAATGTAGACCTGTATCTGGCTATTGGGAAGAACTGGAGACATAATGGGTATCAGTAGCTCCAGGAGTATGATTACAGGAGCTGTGAATACTGAGATGTGGAGGGAAAAATGGCAGTAGATCAAAGGCTATTCTTCCATCCTGGAATCTTCAACCCTGGATGCTTGACTCTATAAATGACTGCAGCATCCCAAAGTGCTTCCTGATAGTGTTATGTTTAAATAAGACTTACGTGCCTGTTGGAAATTGCTGTTTCTTTCTTTATTACACTTCTCTATACTGCTTGGTAGAGCTAAGGCATAGGACACTGTGTATTACCTGGCATGGACTCTTTCATTTGTTCTCATGTCTGCAATATTGCCTTGTGAATACTTCAGTGTCCTGACCCACAATGTTGTGATGATCTGAGATGGGGACAGATATGAGCAAATCTGTGAGAAAAATAGAAACAGGCTGTTGGCTAATGAAATTTGTTGGTTTTTTGCTTTTTTTGTTTTTTTCCCAAAGAATGTTTTTAGACAGGAGAAATACCTGGACCAGATAGCAGATGAGGTAGACTTTGACCTTTCTCAGTTCCAGATGGCCAGAATATTTCATGTGTACTCAGATGGAGAAACCGTTTACTTTACATGGAGTTAAAAAATAGGTGTGCTTATCCCAGCCTTGACCCAGCCTCATCTTTCTATTGTCTTTACTTCAATTAATAATGTGAGGATTGACCTGGCACAGTCATATTTTTAAGCTTTAGGCTACTGCAGTTTTTGCTTTGTGTGGGTAATGAAAATGAGGGTAATTTCCAACATGAGAACTGAATAGACCAAGAGACATCTCATCTCCCCCAGGAGGTGACTAATCCAAATTTAATCCAGGAAGATAAAAATGCATTTTAAGGAAGTATCTTAGCTAGGTTTAAAATCTGAAAAACGTGATGGAATTCAAAAAGAAACTTGTGTGTTTGTGCTTATATGAATATGGGTAGAAAAGGGAGTATTTCCAAGAAACTTCTTATTTCAGATTCCTAAACCTCTTTCTGAGAAAACCCAGATGTCAATTTTTTTCCTGACTGTGAGTGGTTAGTTTGTCCTCAGTAGTGGGAGGACAAGCAGCTATTGCTTGTCATGTTTATCCTAAATGTGACAACAGACAATCCCTAACTGTGTAACTCTCTCTTCTCCTCTTCCACATGGCATACTCACTTAGTTGCCTCAATGATATCCAACTGGGCTCCATCCCAATTATTTGCTTTTCTGGTAATCATCCATGTTTCCATGTTAAAAAAAAAAATAGCATTGGAATAACTTTGGTTTTGCAAAGCAAATAACTGAGCAGACACTCTATGCATCTGGAAAGGAAAGAAGGGAGTATTCTTTTTGGGGAGGCATTTTCTTTGGGTTTAACCTATAGCCTCCGGTTCCCTCACCAGTGACCTTAATGTGCTACATTCCTGTAGCTTTGGTGCCCCATGACAAGGACAGACAACATCTATGAGGTTCTGCACAAGACTCTGTTGGCATTGATGCCACTGGCTGCTGGGGAAGTACCTACAGCACTGAGACCCCAAATGCTTGTGAATTCAGTCTGGCAGGATTCACTTCAGATGACTTAGATCTGCCCAGGCGCTATCCCTGTTTTGAAGGGCAGGAGGTCTGGTTTGTAATGTCCTCATGGAGTCTGACAGAGACCTCCTCTGTCCTGTTCCTGCTTGGTGATCTGAGCTTTTCTGATGACCAGAAGTGCTTGGGCTTTGTGTTCCTTTGCCATGAGTGTCCCCAGGTTATGTGGGAGCACTGTTTGTGTCCATCTCTCTAAAAGGAGGTTCTCCTGTTGCCCATGTGTGCAGCAGGAATGCTGTGTACATGGTCATATGTGATTTGTGACTCAGGTTTTGATTGACACAAGTAAGTTTCCCATCAGAGCCACCTTTACAGTGGTTGTCTGCTTCTACCTTGCTGATCTTTTGCTACCTTATCTCATTTGGTTTCAATCCTCACCCATTGCTGCAGCTTTGCCTGTTGTATTTCTAGTTCTGATTTACAGAGGCTTTAAAGAAAGAAGAAAACTGCAGTTTCAGCAATAGAAATAGATGAAAAATTCTTTACAGTTTCTGCAAACTGCAATGAAGTGTCAAGAAGTTGGTACAGAGGAAGCTGTATGAAAGGCCAAGATGGACAGGTGCTGCATCTTGGGCCTTTTGAGAGAGCTGGTGAAATTAAAAGGGCTGAGTTGAAGGCATATTTTTGGAGATCCATGGGTCATAGAGAAGAATGTTGCCATGGTGTTGATTAAGGAACACCTTAGTTTACCTGTTTAGTTTAGCTGTTAGTTTACCTGTAATGATTTAAAAGAAAAAAGGTTTTAAAAAAAATAGTGGTTGTGACCTGAGGGCCATTGGGAATTGAGAGCCAATTTTTGATATCCTTCGTTCTCATATTCTGATGGTGTGCACAGTAATTCACAATCATTTCTTAGAAACATGCTTGAGGAAAAGCCATTGATTATTTATGCTTGATGGGATTTGCCTTTGTTATTCTGGGGACGAATATGAAAGGTTTTGGGAACTTAGTAGCAAGTGAAGCCATCAGTTCTGTGATGGGACTTCAGAAGTAGAACTGTAATACTGTAAAATATTCAAATTTGACATTCATTTTTGACTTTTGGTCAGTTCAGTTTCCCTTGGCCAAACTTGGGATTAAGGAAATTATTATCCAGAGATATTTACTCGTTCATAGCACGTGAAATGCTCTAATCACAGGCAATTTTTGAATGGCCAGGAATAAGAACTTGTTACTTCTGTGCAGCATGGTCTGTTTACAGAGTAATGAAGGGAAAGATGTCTCCATAGTAACCTGTAAAACAGGCAAGTCTACTTCTTCCACTTCAATACAGTCTTCAGTAAACAGATTTTACAGCTTTTTTTTTTAAAAAAAAAAAGCAAACAGAATAAACCACAGTTTTGGATTATGTGACTTCCATTACTACTGAATAGCTTCTAGGTTCAAGATCTGTCCCTCTGCTTCCCCCTCTTTTGTTACATTTAAAATGATCCATGAAAACCAATAAATTCTAACAGATGTGATTTGCTGTTCTATCAAGGGGTTTCTACCTGAAGGGTTCTTCTGCAGGTGGAGAGACAGGGCATTGTGAATAGCCTTTAAATGTGTAAACAGATACTGTGAAAACATTTCTACTGACTGTGGATAGGGCCAAAAGTCTTAAGCTTACCTTGAGACAGAAAATGTGATCAAGCCTAGGTATGCGATGGTATTTTCTGAGGGTAAGGGGAGTTAATGGATTTCTGGCAAGACTATATCCTTTTCTTTGCTTGAGATCTAAAAAACAAGAAACAAAACAAATGCGCACACACTTTACCTGCCAGAAAACCCAAAACCCAGGTCCCCAAAAACCCCATCAGAAATTCTTTAAGTGGAGATAACCATGGCTTGAGACACTGGGCATACGATATCAGTGACTTTTTGAGTTCCCATTTAGTACTGCACTCTACAGGCCATTATGTTTCCTAGGGGGCTCCCCTAGGAAGCAGGTATGTTTTTTTCTGGGCAGAGGAAATAAAAGCTGCCTGCTGGTTTTTGTCTGTTGCTGCTTCTGGAAGACAGCTGTGTGTGAACCTCTCCTGTTGGAAGGGCAGATACCAGGTGACAGAAGTGAGGTCTGGCACACAAAAATAAAAAAGGATGGTTGAAGGAGTGACTTCAAATATCACTGCTTTCAAATTCAACTTTCACTTGTGTTACAGCAGCCAATGAAACCAGTGGTGTCTGGATGTTTGCTGTGTGGCTCTGGCATCTGAATGGGGACAAAGATTGAAGAGACTCAGGCTCCAGACTCTGGAAAAGGGACAAAAGGTAGGGCTTGCTCTACAGAGTGTCCCAAGCCATTCCTTGTACTGGTAGCTATACTCTTTTGTGTCTTTGTTTCATGCATCATGACCAAATCTTCAAATTTCCTGTGTGGCTCTGGAGAGATGGCTTGTAGGAGATCCAAAATCCAGCTGGTTTTCAGGTTTTATTGATGTGAGGAAGGTGGCCCTAGGGATATAGGGGAGATAAGTTTCTGGGACTCCCTGTTTCAGTTGGGCTGGTCTGATTTCCTGTTGGTATTTCTCAAGATAGCAGATGAAAATGAAAATTACAGATTGCTGGAAAATAATTCTAGTTACTGTTTATTTTTATTTTTTTTTTAAACTTTAGAGTTTTATTCTGGTGAAAGCTGAAAAATGATGCAGGGGCCAAACATCTGTGGATCCTTATGGTATCTGAGCATGATTCTTGACTGTTGAGAGCCTGTTGAGTTTTGGATAACATGTGTTCCTCTTTCCCTGGAACTGTTCTAAAAAACTGTAGATGTGGTTCATAGGGCCACAGTTTAGTGGGGGACTTGGCAGTGTTAGGTCCAGGGCTCTGAATGATTCTATGAATCCTTTTACTCCATGATTATTTCCCCCTTCCTGGTTAAATCATACTGGTTAATATCCACATTCATTTTTGCGGCTCCCAGTATCTCCAATTGCCAACTGTAATCCTGCATTAATCAATAATAATCAGAGCTGTCTAGTTGCTGCCATCTGTTTTCTCGATAAGGGCTGTTTTAAAAGCAATTCAACTTGTGGCAGATCACTTCCAGGGTGTGGAATGTGGAATGGGCCGGGGGCTCGGAGCCAGCGGGCAGGATGGGGACAGGCGCATCCCGGGAGCACGGATGCTCTCGGGGAGCAGCACCTCCTGCCGTCCCTGCCCAGCCCCTGGGAGCCGGGAGGCTGTGTCCCGGGGCTCCGCTGTGTCCCCGGGAGATGCTGTCGGTGGCCATCTGCTGCCACCTCCCGTCCGAGGGCCGTGCCGTGCCGAGCCGCTGCGCGGTGCCTGGGGGAGCAGATGGAAACCACCTCCAGCCCTCAGGCCGGCGATTGCCGTCCCCCTGAGAGCTCTGCTAGTGGTGCCTGTGCCTGCAGGGGCAGCCGGGATCTCAGCCCTACTGCGTGCCACTGCTGGCTGTGACCTCGCTCACTGCGGTTTTTTCCTGTCTCCACCGTGCAGTGGCCTCATTTCTTTCTGCAGTTTGCTCTTTCTGGGTACCTTGGCCACCCAGATCCCCCAGCCAAAGAATGAGCGATGCCGAGAGCTTGGAGGTGCCCGGCCAGCAGCAATAGCAGGAGGTGAGCTGGCTGCTTCCCTCTGGCAGAGCAGCAGTGCGGGGGAGCAGGGGCAGGACTCCTCTCCCTTTTCCCCCTCGTTGCAGTTCACAGCAGCTCCCGGCTCCCCTGGCCCTCGCAGTCAGCTCTGGGCTGCTCGCTGGGGCCTGGACACCAGAGCAGGGTGTGCCACACTCCTGTGCCAGAGCTGCTTGCTGCCAGCCAGGCTCGGGCCAGCCGGCTGTCCTGCTGCTGGCCAGCCCACAGTGACTCGCTAGCACTGGCCACTAGTAGTTGCTTTTTAATTTGGATCCCTGTGCCTCCTCTCTGTTTTGGGGGGAGGGCAAGGTCTATTCTTTGTCCCTGCTTGCTTCTATTTCTTTGGCTTGTTCTCTAATAGCTCTTGCAGCTTCCCCGCTGCCTGCGGTGACTACAAATTTGAGCTGAATTAATCCCAGACAGAGGCTCAATCTGAAGCAAACTTTCCTTCCAAAATGTTCGGTCTGAAAAGACATGAAAGCAGGACGGGCTGGCCACCTACCTTCCCCGTGTGGGTCTCATCCCAGGCAAAAGTTTGTTCTCTCTCTTCTAGCAGGACTGAGAGGCTCCTGGTGCTGTGCTGGGCACTGACCAGGCACACATGGAAGGGGGGAGTCTGTCTGCCAGACCTCAGTGGGCAGACAAACAGAAAACAGCAGCGTGGCTGGCACTCACAGGTTTTGCTTGCCGCCCTGGAAGCAGCCCTTGGTTGCAGCAGAGGTGTTGCTTCTCCTTCCCCAGCTGGCCCAGCCTGCTGGCACTGCTCAGACCCTCAGCCTGTCCTTGTGCAACCCTGTGCTGGCCATGTCTCACCCTGTTCAGTTATCCCTCTCCATGGCTCCTAGAAGCATCAAGATTTCAGCTTTGGTTTCTCCCTGCTTCCTTTCTCAAGGAGTCTTATTTCGTGGCATCCTGCCCTTTTGTGCTGAGGCTTGTTTTCCTGCTGCCTGACTGAGGTCAGCATCTGTTCCCACAGTCCCTGGCCAAGGGGGCTCTCTGATACCTGATAACACAGTTGCAGGCCATAGACCCTCTCTGATAACAGCAGGGTATTAGATCCCAAGCAGCCGCTCCTAAATCAAACATAAGGAAACAAATTTGCTTCTTCATCTCTGGGTCCATGTATGCAAGTATTCCCCATAAAGAAAGAGGTACAAATGATACCCTGTTTTGGGAACCACCACAGGATCCCCTTTCCCACAAGGAACCTCGTGGTTGGTGTTCCTGGCAAGGGCTTTTCCTCTGAATTCAGATGCTGCTTCTTCTTTGACCAGAGACTAGCAGCCCTGTGCCTGTGACAGGTAAAAAAATACTCTGAGCTGTTTTCCTGTGGGATCTTTGGAGTTTTGGAGTCTTGGGGATTTCATAGTTGTTTTTTGGTGTGTTTTGTTTTTTTAACCTTGGAGCTCCCAGTGCTGTCATATTTCAAAAGAGGCTGAAATGCCAGAGCAAAAGCACAGAAAGCCCTTGCATCCCCCTTCCACAGTGCTGTGCAGAGCACATTGCTGTGCCATGCAACAAGCCTTTTCTTTGGAATTCATAGATAATTGCTAGTCCTGTCAAAGGCCATTCATTTTAGTAGCGTAAAAATCACTATGGTTTTATTTCAAGCTTAAGAAACCACTTTGTCAGACTGGGCAAATTTTACCAAACCAGTATGCGGGCTGTGGGCACAGCTGGAGTTAAACAGAAAGAGCCCAGTTCCACAAATACCGAAGGTTCTCTGACTTGATTTGAAACAGGGAAACAAAGTAAACAAGGGAAGGAAGGGCTGGGGAAGTGGGGAGAAAGGAAGGGGAGAAAACTTCCTCCTTTCTGACGAAACTGTTTTCACCTCTTTATTCCAAAGAGAGGATTTCTGACATATGGGGTTTTAAATGTTTGTTTGCTTTGCCTGCATGGTTGTTTACTGCTCTGAGAGTCTGCTGCCTTTGCTGGCATGCTCAGTCTTTCAGGGAATATGACAGAGTGCAAGGCTGTTTACTTATTTCTACTAGCACTTATTTAGCAGTGAAGCTTTCTTCTGATCCAGGTTTTGCTAGGAACTAGTAACTGTTGCAGGAACATGGTGGTTGTGGGGATCTTAGGGGGAGAACCATTGCCTCCTCTAGGCAGTATAGCTTCAGTTACATGCTTTGCTATCACTGGTGTATTTGGCTCCTGGTAGGGGGTAAGTTCTTTTACTCCTGAGTTTTTTCCACATGGAGAAATGAAGGACTTTGCAGGGAAGAGGAGGGAAAAGGAAGGTGAGGGAGATGTTTATCAAAAGGCCATGCAGAGCATCTCTGGGAAATCCAAAGTTAGACAAGAGTTTTCTGGGTCCCTTACCCGTGCTCTGTGAACATCCACCATCCTTACATGTACCCTCCACCAGCTTCTCTTTTCTGACCAGGTGAAGTCAGGCTCTGTGCTGTTCCAGGGGTGCAGCACAGCTGTGGGCCTTTGAGGACCTGCAGAGTTAATGGATGAGCCTGGCCTTTGCCATCAGCTTTGGGCTAGCTCAGCTGGAAACTTGAACTTGTAGACAAGCTGACTATTGCTCTCATACAAGTTCATGACCCTTAAGAAGTTTCATATTCCTTTTGCCACATCTCCATATGGATGCAATCATTTCTCAAGGATCCTGAGGTGGATGCTTTTTCTCCTTCATCCTCTTAACTGCAGTCATGGGAAGGAGGACCTTTGCTGCTGAGGCCTACTGCAGTACACCTGCAGACTAAACAGCAATCTCTGCGCAGCTTCAGGCTGGTCCACTGATCCAACATGAAGTCTGCTTTTCCTTCAGAATGATCTGCTTTTTCTCTGTATTTCCACACAGGAAGAATGAATGACACTTCATTTTATTAAAACCAAAAAGGAGACTGTTGGCTGTTTTGCTCAGTATCCTCATCAGTACTGCCATGGGGCTCTCTGCTTGCTCTCTGGATTGGGTCAACAATATGCCTCTGAGCCAGGATTTTTCCAGGTAGTAATCTGAGAGCTACTGATGCTGTCAAAGCAATGCTATCCTACAATTAGTCCGAAAAAATGTTCTTTGTACATACTTCTGTTTTGTCATTTAAAGGTCCTAAACCCCAGATCTTCCATAACTGTCTTTCAAGGAGGCAAAGACTACTTGCTATGTACTGGAATGTGTCCTTTATATTTAATATTAACTAATGGGGATGAAATTGCTCTTGGCTCTTGATATTACTGAGTGTTCCCTTTGGGGGCTGGATTCCTTCCCAGCAAGTGGTAGCAGCTACCAGCAAAGGTGAGTTTGACATTGCTGCAAACTGTCCCTAAAGCAACCCATGTAACTGTGCCAGCACTAACTCCCTTTGTTCGGATTATTTATTGAAGGTGAACTCCTTGAGCATACAGAGCACAGAATGTTTTTGTGAGTACAGAAAAAGACCCCAGAGATGTGTTGGAGGAAAAGTTTTCAGGGTTAAAACCGTGTCAGGCACTGCATAGGCTGCAGGCTGCTACCTCCAATTGCTTTTGGCTACTTGGTTCCAGGCAAGGGGCAGCTTCCCTCCTTCTGAAAGAGCCTGTTGTTTCCAGTAACTGAGAGAAGAGTTACTGTTTTTTATGGTTTAGAAAGCAGGGAGCAGGAACTGGGATACTTGGCCCTCTGTGCCTTATTATTCCTATCTATAAAGTGTGGGTGACAATATTTTACCTTCTTCAGAGGGACATTTGCAAGCTAATGGACAGAAAGTGCTCAAGAACTCCCCACCTCGGCAGTTGGGACACCTTGGCAATCTGCCCAGTAGCTTTTAGCTGTGCCTTACCTAAACAACAAGTGACAAAGGCATAAACACTTTGTCTCTAAAGAGCTGGCTGCTCACTGCATGCTGTGGGTCTGTGGACAGTGCTGCTCTTGTGTTGGGAGGCTTCTCCTCCCTCTGCTCCAGGTTGCACAGAAGCTGCCTGCAATTCTGCTGGCAGAACTGCTTTTTAGCCAAATGAGAGGGTTCCTGTGTTTCAGCATCACCATTAACTCAGAGAAAGTTTGGCTAATGAGCCTTGGTGCCTGCAGGCCCCTGAAGGCCGACATGCTTCTGCAAGCCCCAGAATGGGACCGTGCCTGCTACCTCCAGCCTCTTGCCTGAATGCTGGCATTTTTTATGGCACTGCCATTATGCTCTCTGCTGGCTCTAGACACTCAGAACTAACTCTGTCATATCTGTTTCTCTGGATGTTTATGCTGTAAGACTGGGAGCAGAATGCAACCCTGAAGGTGTTCAGCAGTGTTAACTTGCCCTCATTGCTAGTGTATGAGAAACCTGCCATGCTGTCTCTTCTTTGATATCTTCCCTGGATTTGTGCTGCTGAGAGGCTTCTCTGATCTCTTCCACTGAATGACATCCTAGAGCGAACTTAGCAGAAAAAGGTCTCTGAGTTTTAAAACCAGAGTAATCTTTAGGAAAGGAGTAACTTAGATCTTTGATGGTCCAAAAGGCCTGACAACTGTGGCATGCAGGAGAAACCCAGTTGTTCAAATAGTGGAAACATGAAGAGAAAAGTGTTAGTGTCAATCTTAGGTTAATTGGAAAATATTCAAAGGACTTTGTTTTGCTTAATTTTGAGGTTAGAACTTCCCTGGGGTTCTATGAAAAGAATGCAACGCTGGCAGCTCCTTTGAAATACGTAGGAGTGAGCTGCAAAGCAAAGTTGTTAGAGGGGACGTGACCTCCTCCTGGCTGGTTGGACAGCAGGAAAATGAAGATGAGAATGTTATGCAATTGCTCTTGCTTCAAGAGCAGTCTGTGGTGTGACATAAGTGCATAGGTATGAAGACATCCTTTCGAAAGCAGATCCTCTGTTCATCCCGATACCCAACATCGAAGAAGAGGTTTCCTAGCTCCCACCTCTCTCCAAATGCACACATGGCCCATGGAAAGCGTCAGACAAATCAGGTGTCTTGTGCCTCCACTGACCTGTCACAAACACCACTGGCAGCATCGGTGGTAAGATGTGCATTGCTCTGCAGTAAAAGGCCACATTTTTTGATAAACTGTATGTCCTTGTTAAGGCCACCCTTTTTTTTATTATCTTTTGTTTTCCTTTTTTGCTTAAACATAAGGTGTTTCAGGGCAGGGAGTGTCTTAGCTTACATTTTTGGAGTATTCTGCAGAATGGGAACCTGCCCATGGTGCTGGGGTCTCTTGGCATTCCTGGTTGTGACCTGTGGGCACGGGAGGGTGGGAGGACTCACCCAGCAAGTCTGGAGCCTGCAGAGCCAGTTCAGCTCAGGGAGCCTCTGGGGCTTGATGCCATGAGAGGGGAGCAATAGAACAACCACCTTCTCTGTCCTTCTCCCTGTGCCTTGTGCCAGGGTAATTCCAGCTGGGCACTCTGCTACACCATCTGCAGTAGGGCAGCACGAGTAGGTGGGGACTTACCATCATACTGGCTAAGAAGAAGTTTGTGAGCAGCTCTTTAGCCTGGGAAAAGTTGAAGGACCCTATTCAGACAGGAGGCAGGTTCACTTTCCTAACCTGCTTTAGAGGAAAGGAAATTCTCTGGGATTTTGAGGCTTTTCCTCACTGTATTGCCCAAGAAGCATTTCAAGCCTTGGAGAGCCTGAAGACTGGTAACCATGTTCAGGGTGAGATGTTTAACCACATACCCAGACTCAGGACATTGGTGGTGCAGGGGTGGAAGGAGGGCCCCAAAATAGGAAACATTGCCTGGGAAGTGAGCATATCACCAGCCTGATCAGGACCTCCAGCAGACCTCTTGGAAGAGAGAATCCTACAAGATTCTTACAAAGAGCAGAAGAGATTTTCAACCATTCTTGGCCTGTGTGCCAGTTCTGCTGATTGAAAAATCACTTCTATTGATTGTAGAACTTTTTTTTCTAACAGTTTGAATCACAGAATAGAGAAAGTTGGTGTCAGGCCTCTCTTGGCTTTTTGCTTCTTCCCTGTTTTGAAGGCTGAAATGGGCTGTTCTAGTTTGATCAACTCTGTAAGTCATGCCACAAAAATCTGCATAGTTCCCCTTCTGCCAAAAGTGGGGACCTCTGTTCTACCCCCAGAAAGGTACCCAGTCCTGGGCTGCAGACATTCATGGGAACAATCCATCACTTCACTTGTGCTGAGCCTTCTCACACAAGCCCAAGGTAATGATGCAGGTTTTGTTTTTCTCCTCAATTTGTCTGGCTGGTTCAGGCTCCTAGCTCGTATTTTTTGCTCTGAATTTTACCTGTGGCTTTAAGTGCACTGTAGTAAAAATACTTTTCCATGCTGAGGGAACCAGACAGCACTTCTAGGCTATCCTGAAGCTGTTCATCGACCTTCTCGTTTTGCTCCTGGAGTGCTTAGAAGGCTCTGGGAATACTCATTATTAGTGTTGTGTAATGGTTACAGTGCACTCCAAGAGTCAACAATATGTTGTAAAAAGGCCATAAGCCAACACCCATGTGGACTGGCCCCTTCTGGCCAACAAAAAATAACCTCTGGAGAATTTTAACCTCATACTGTCTGCTATTAGCATTGCTTTCTCCTGTGTCATCATCAATGAGCTTTCAACTTAGGTTGAAATGCAATTGAAGACAGCATAAATATAGAAAAGAAAATTCTTGAGGAGAAACCCCAACTTTACACATTATCTATAATTATAGACTGGGCATTGTATTAGACTGAGTACAATTTTATGTTAACAGAGAGTAGTATCCCTTCTTTAAGAAGATAACTGATTCACTAATGGAATAAATTGTCATGTACAGCCAATAAAAGCATAGATAGTTTTTTTTTATGCATTTTGACTCTGAAGTGAAGGGTCTGAACTTCTAGCTTTGCTGTTACCTGTTTGTTTTGTTAATACTGAAGCAGGTGAGTTGCTTGGGAAGTCTGGATGATCCAAAACAACACAGAACAAAGGTGTTCCTACCCTCTGATGGAAGCATAGTCCAGAGGGAATCAAAATCAATGTAAGCTGTAGTTTTGGCCAGAGCTTGGAATGATGCCCTTTAACAAGATGTGTTGAAAACTTCCATTACATAAATGCCCATGACCAGTTTTGCAAAAGATGCAAAAGAGAGACATGAGTCAAAGCCAAGCACGTTTTCTGTGCCTTGGAAATGAATTGCCTCTAGTGAGCCCTCCTAGGAAGTTCAGGCTGTTTACCATATGGAAGTTACTATGGCCTTATCTTCCTACATCTGTGGTCAGGAACCGGTCCAGCTGTACCAGTGCAGCTGCGCTGAGCTGCTCTTTGCCTGAAACCTGGGTGAATCCAGCTTGTGTTGATCCCCGCGGTGTTGAGCTGGGCGTTGTGCGCTGCTCCCCGCCACCAGGCCTTGTTTGGTTCCTTGCTAAATGCGAGCTGAGGCCTCCTATGCCTTGGTTTATCTGGGTGTGTATGAAAGGATAAATGACTATGAGACCTGAAAAGGTAGTGAGAAGATGAATGGTTACACTAGTGTTCTGGTTTTCCTGGTTGCTTTCTCTTGTTTAAATAAAATTTGGATTGGTCTAGATTTGGGGATGATGTTTAATATTAGAGTTGCCAAAAGTAGCAAACATTTTTGGATGATACTCTGGACAAACTTCCAGAGGTCCAGGCATATTTAGAAGACTTATAAGTTTGTATTTTTGTTGTCTGAGTCCTTTACAAACTCTTGAATAACCTTCGCCAGAGTATTCAACCTTTCTGAACTTGGAGAACAGCTCTACTCTCCTATGAGCTGAGTGGTGCAGGTTGAGGTTCAGCTAATATTTGTTGAAGAGTAGGAGTTCTTTAGAGGCATGAGAGGCTTAGCTAATATTTGCAGAACACTTTGAGGTCTTGGGATAGATACTGTTACCAAAGGATGAAGTGGTATTCACATGTTCTGTCATGTCTGTGTTGTTTACAAATAGAATAGAATGATGTTTTGAAGGTCAGGGACCTTGAGAACAATAGTGGGTTTGAAGCACTCATTTATTTTTACCAAGTTCAGATGCCTGGCATACACTAGCATTTCATTTATATAAAGGATCTGATCAAACATTTTGGTTGTTTAGAGGAGTTGTTTTGCTTGTTTTCAGGCTGTTGAAATGTCAGATGGTGAAAACAAGCAAGAACTCCAGATGGAGCAACTGGAAGAGAAACACGACAAAGATGGTAATGGGAAAGCTTCAGATTCACACTTGATTGGGAGTCCCATGCTTGGGATTGGGAGTCCCCACCTGTGGCTTCTAAAGCCACTCTCTGTGCAAGCCCTTGTGCAAAGCAGTGTGCCATGAGGAAGTTCTTCATTATTATGGTAAGCAAAGCCAGTAACAGTTTATTTTCACTGTTCATTAGTCCATCCATGCTGGGAATTGTTTGGGAGCTGCAATCTCATCTGGAATACTCAGCTTTTATACGGCCAAGAAAATCATAAGCACTCTGCTTTAATGATCCCAAATTTGAATTGGAGTTTCATGACTTACATTAATAGGGCAAATAAATGCCCAGTAGCTCAGTCTCATTCACTGGCATTCATGCTGTCATTTGTAACAGTAGATCAAACTCTATCTTCATAACTTCTAGTGAGGATACAGACTAAATCTGTGTTTGAGTAATGTTGGAAGATGGGTGATATAAAAATGCTGTAAAATCCCTGATCATAGATGGAGGAGTAAAAGCTGGTAAAAAAATCTATCTAATCAGACAGCACATTTAACACAAAAAATTGTCTAACTTCCTCTAGTCTACGGCCAGCTTTCTTGAAGACAAAGGGAGGCGTAATTTGTACTGGCAAAGCTAACCCTGATTTAAAATCAGAGTAAACATTTGGCACAAATTTCAGCTTTTGTTTGTTTACACTTGAAGCTGTGCTAGTCACTGGGGGCCGGAGTTACAGCAAATTCCTAACGTATGCTGCCATCTAATTTGTAATATTTGTGGTGACTTATTCCCTAATGTTTTGGAAGCAGGGTACAGTACAGGAGACTGAAATTACCTTGCAGTGACCAACTGAAACAGCTTCTTCGGTGGTGGTGATTCTAATATGGGAATGTACAAGGGCGGCATTAGGATGTGCTTGGTCAATCACTGCTGTTCTATTGTGTCCGTTATTTTAAGGACTTAATTCTAAGTGCTTTAAATTCTTTCTACGTTCACTGAGACAGAAGCTGCTGAGCACCTTGCATGGGTGTGTCCTTAGTTTCTGTGCCAGGCTAAGGGATGGGCAGAGAGGCTTTCAGAAAGGAGAAACATCACATTGAAAGCCACTAATCTGTGACATAGCATGAATGTGATCTTTAGTTCTGTCTTGGAGACTGCTCTTCCAAAACGCCACTTCAGGAGGGCCATGCTCATCAGCAGAGGTATTCATAAGCTGCCATCACTGGATATCCATGAGCTATTGCACCCAAAAGATAAAGGGCAGGCGGAATTATCCCTGAATTTGGCAGTTCAGAACACATGATGTATAGAGGAATGGATTGGTGCTGCCTAATTAATGGCTCTTCATTACTGTGCCATAGCCTGTACTGTAGTGTGAGCACACACTCCAACAGGCAAATTCCTTGTGCCTAGGTTTGGATCTTACCAATTCAGGCTTGCCACATGCTCCCAAAAACTAGTCTGGAGCTTTCAGCCACATAATGCTATGTGAGTCAAGCAAGAGGAATGTATGTAATCAGACATATACACACAGTCATAACTAAGCTTTCATTTTAGAGGTTAGTATTCGGTTGGTTAAAACCCCAAGTGTAATGATTATCTGAGAAAGTAATTATTTACTGGCTTTGAATCCAGTGGTGGAAAGCAGATCAGAGGTGCTTTGGTATAAAGGTATAGACAGTAACTTGCAGAACTGAGTCCTACTTGCTGAGTAGAAAAAAAAAAATCTGACTTTGTTAATTATAGTCCTTTCTGTTTAGTTCCTTTGCTTTGCATTTCTCTGTGGAAGGCAACTTTATCTCCTCTGAGGAAGACGTCAATACAGTCAAATTAGAGCTGTGGAGGAGGAATATTAGGGAGGCTGAAATAATCTGAAATGCCCCTCATTCTCCTGTTTTGCTACTGACATGAAAAGACACTAACATTGAAGCTTGGATTTCTAGGTAGAGGAATACATGAGGTCTGAGGCTTTCACAGACCTTTTATATCTTAGGAGAGACAAGCAGTAGCTCTATGTTTTTTTCCCCCTCCAGCTCTACCTTTTGGTTCAGCTGTCAATAGTAATGCTTCATGCAGAATCAGACCGATTTCTCCTTTACCTTTTTTTAGTTTTTGGTTTTTTTCCTCATTTAACATTGCTCTAAATTTTAGTTACACTAAACCTACTGAAATAACACACAGGCAACCAGGAATCCAAGGTAAGGTACAAATTTACAATCCAGCAGATGACTGTAATACCCTGTGAGGCTTTCTGTGCTTCCACCTCAGGTTTTGTTGTAATAACTCAAGATCTTTGAGATTGCTTTGGTAATTTTTAATGCTTTATTTCTGGTGGCTGAACTATTGCTTGCTCAGAGCTAGTTGATCTTCCCCTGTCATGAATTCTATGACAGAATGTCAGTGAGGATGTCATGGCTGCCTTGTTGCCATCCACATGAGACATGTGGAGACACAGATAATTAAAAAAATTGTTTTTATTTATTTTAGCCAGATAGAAGATAGGTGAAGGGTAGCTGAGCAATTTTTTTTGGCTGTTATGGAGTACAGGATGTAAAAGAAACTACTGTTAATGACTTTCTATGAAGGCACCACCTACACAATTATCATTGAACTCATGACCTAGAAATCAAGTTGAAGCAGTTATATTTTAGCTGTGTTTTTTTATTGCCAGGTATACTTTACTATTCTTTTGCAATATTTCCTGACTTTAGCCAGGAGTGCTTGACCAAGCCATGGAAGGTCCATGCTGCCAAGAGTACAGAGAAAACTACTCCAGCTCCTGGGATTTGGCTGAGAGTTCACGAAGGTTCTTGTGGGGTCAGGCCTTGGTGATGGTGTGGGTGATGGGTTGCTGGAAAGAAGCCTTGGCCAGGCTGAGAGAGGTGCAGCAGAGTCGTGCACATGAGCTTTGTGCACACCGGACAGGTGCCCAAACACCTGAACTGTGCTGGCCTCAGTGCTGACGTTGCTTCACGTGTAGCTGGTATTTGGCCTAGCTCATCTAGAGGAATGTGTATATTTAGAATGCAGACCTATTTCTAATAATAATCTTTCTGAAGTGATTACTAGATAAGTCAATTATCTCACTCCTCTTAGAATGGTAACTATTAATTACTTGAGTTACAGGCACAGAGCAAAGATGATCAAAGCAGATGATGCAATGGGATACTGAGATCCACAGGGTGGTTTAACACTGATGAGGTCTGTTCACTGTTTCTGAAATTCTTTGAAGATGGGTGATATGTAATGTTTCTAATTGGTTATATTAGCAAGAGCGTTATCTGGAGGGCACTTGATGGGCATTCGGGATATCTCACACTGTTTCTCTGTATTTCGTTGGCCAACTGAGCAAGTTAACTCCTCTTCCTGTGCCTTAGTTATCCCACTACTAAAATGCAGTTAATCACTCATAAAATGAGATAATTATACTATCCTTTCTGAAAAGTGCTCAGACATGTATTGATTACAAATTCTGGATCCATTTTTGAAGTTATTACCATTTTCTTCATTTAGATAATAACATCCAATATCAGTGGATCTGACTTGTTCAGAGCAGACAAGGGGAGATGGGAACTTGAAGCATTATTGGTTTCACTTTAAAGTTCTCTGCTATTTCTTTAAAGGAAACAATAAAAGTTGATGCCAGAACTCTTTGTTTTGCTGCAACTTGGTGCTTCTCTGCAGTTTCTATTTCTAGTTAAGAGAATCCTAGCATTTGGCAAATGACAACTCTTCAGTCTAATAGGTGGCACAGCACTCTTGTCTGGGAGTGTAAATGTTCTGAACTGAATAATCTTTGCAGGTGGCACCCTTGATTTAGCAGAGACAAGAATAACATCTATTGCCACTCCTAACAATTCTTACGTCCCACAAAACCATTTGAAAATGTAGAAGTAGATAGTGGAGGATCATGGTTAGGTGCTTTGGAAACCAATTGTGTACAAAATAGCTGAATATCAGCCTGAGGTGTCATCCACCAAATGGATGTGAAGGCTTATGTGGCTGGAAGGAAGGTGACATTTATACCAGTAAGAGAATGGAGATCTGCTGGTGGAGCCAACACCACTGATAGAGAACTGGCATTGAAATACTCACGGGTTATTCAAGATGCCTGAAGACTGTTGAAAGGAGGAGATACCTTAGGTCAGAATTACTGCAAGGTATCCATTTCCATCACAAAGTTAGGGCAGTGAATGCTCCCACTGTACACTAAGATTGGATCTGGCCTCAGGTCCAATCCATTTTGCAGCTGATTTGTTGCTCAGGCCAAGTCCATAACCAAAACTCATTTTCTGCCTTTGTAGGAAGGGACACTTCACATAAGAAGCATCACCTGACATTTTTGAAGCAGGTAAAGACAGAAAAGAGTAGAAGAGATTGAGTAAATGGCTTTCCCACTTGGAGAGGTTGGTCTTGCTAAAACTATATTAAAATCTTTCAACCCAGCCTTACTACATGATCAGAGAGCTTTCTTTCCAGATGTCACTGAAATACCTTGTTGCTAAATCCCAGGTTGAAGGTGCTAAGTCTGCCCTTTATATCATGTTGCCTGCAAGAGGCCAAAACTGATGCTGCATTTCCAAGTGTTGGGTGATGTTCACACAGGCCCTGAGCCTTAGTCAGTCCCTTCAAAGAATTTGTGACTGGAACAATCAGACAAAGTGGGGATGAAGAAGGTCTTTTCACAAAGGCAGTTTTTAGCTAGTATGTGCACAGAGGAAGCTGCTCTCAAAAATATTACTGTTATCCAGTTGATGTGGACAGCACAGGGAATATATCCAGATTTCTGCAACAACTGATTGACCATTTGGCAACAGAAAGATGCACTGTCAATAGGCTTCTTCCACTAGTTTTGGGAACACAATATTCTCTATTGAGTCATCTCTTCAAATATCTGCTCCCCAGGATCTATAAAGTTGTACCAGATATGCTCTGAGATCCAGGGAGTTTCTGGCAGAAAATAGGAATCCACATCTGTATAGTCCTCCAATACAAGGACTAATTTTCTGTTCTTGTGCTTGGAATTTTGTCCCTGCCACTGACTTTTCCTCCTGCTTTCATTTCTTGCTCTTCTTTGCTGTCTGCTCCTCTTTGTTCTTCCTGGACTGGTGGTAATAGCTGCTTTTAGCAGTAATACTCATGCCAGCACTTGTCTGTCCTTGCAATAGTGTATTTATATATATTTGCTTTAATTTTCAAATACCCCATCTAGCAAAGGAGGATGGAGGAGAGAAGATGCAATGGGACCTGTTCTTCCTTATGTGAAGTTGCTAAGGATATTTATGCTCATTTATGTTACCATTTTCCCACTGGGACAGACTGCTGGTCCTGCACTTTGGCACATCTTCACAACACGCAACAGAGTGGTTTTCAAGCCAGTTCAGCTGAAGTTATGATTTGTGTAAGGTTTGAAAATGTTTGGGAAATGTACTCTTATTAAGGGTAGGTGGTGTCTTAATTTCTGCCCATAGACAGAAATTTTTGTGCCTATGAAATACAGGTAGTGCCCATCCATCCTTCACTGAGACACTTTGGGACCCAGGAAATTTTGAGATTTTCTGTGTTGGCAAATAGTGGGGTATCAGGATACACTCTGTGCTTGTAGCCCATGAGTTCACTGACAAATTAATTTCTTGTGAGACCTCAAAATATTCCCTCCTTCCCCAAACTTTGAAACTTGAAGTATTAATTTCTTCTTTAGAGCATGAACCCTGTAATCAGCAAGCTCGGTGTCTGAGAGTGTCTTCACTAAAAGACAATACCCAAATAATCAATTAGCAATCAAATTAAACTAGTTCGACACTGCAACTTCTAAATATTTTTGGAAAATTACTTTCAGAACTACAGCTGTGTAACTACGATTCTCTGGGAATGTTCATTTCAGAAGGACCAAAGTGTTTCCCAGGTCTTGCATAGAGCCTAGTATTCAAGTCCTGTATTTGCAGTTTTGAAAAGTGCGGCTATGTGGGAGCAAAATTTCACAAAAGCCCTTGAAATAATTTAAAAAGTGAATATACTTTACATTTGAAAATGTTAAGGCTATTAGTTAAGGCTTCTAAGTAACACTGACACTATCATAGCTGTTAATATCGAGTCCATTTAGTTGTTGCCTTGGAGCTCTTTACAATACAAGCCAGCTTAGTTAATGAGTGCAGTTCTGTGTTATTAGTTACCCAAAATCAGCTGGAAAAGCTGCTGGCTTTTATTTCTGAAATGGAACTGAATATATGCTGTATCTCCAGTGATGGGAACGAAGAATCATTTTGTCAATTCCCTTCCTGCCAGCTGATGCCAGGGTCAGAGAAGTAGGTCACACCTTTCTGGTTTTGAGATGGAGCAATACTTATTTTAGACCAATTTGCTCTGAGCACGGAGCTCATCTGCTGGGTTGAACCAGGGCATTGTTGCTTTCTCTAGTGCATTGTTCTGTTCTCCCGCTAATTACCTCCAAATGTTTCTTATGCCTGGAACACAGTAGTAGTAATGAATAATGGGCTCTCTTCTCTTAACCCTTCAACCTGTAATTTGGCTTTCCACTCCCACCTAGATGCTTTCACTTTCCTGCCTCCACCAGCCCTGTGTTAGTCTGACACCTGCCTGTATCAGATTTGCTGCCCCATAACCTCCTATCTTCTGTTCTGCAAATTGAGTAGGAGAGTGCAGGAGTGTGGTCTTGGTTCCAGCATTTACTGTCAGGATCATGGTGTTTGCTTTACATGTGTTAGTGTGGATAAAGGGACATCTCACATGCCTGTGGCCCTGGGAACAGCCACAGTCACTCCAGACCTTCTGCTTCAGAGATGACCTGCCCAGAAAAGCTGTCCAAACTGTTGATTTGTATGACTTGTTGCAAGCTGATTCAAAGAGATGGGGTTTAATTGCTGATCACTTTGGGTAAATAGTAAGTGCCCCTCAGATGGGGTTTCCTTATGAAGGTTAGGCTTCAGGTATTAGATGTGAGCAGATATGTGAGAATTGAAGCCTGAAGAAAGTGGGGGGTGGCATCTGTGGGTTCCTACAGGCTACTGTGGTTAGTGGGAAGAAGGAGAGGGGAGACTTGCTCAGATGAGTCATGGAGGCAGTGCTTGGAGGAAATTGGACTAGGGCATATGCCATCTAACAAAATAGTACAATGTCCAAACACATTCTCATTACAGTCCTTTACACCTCAAATCCTTTTGCTTCAATTTGCTGGTATTTTTTTCCAGTTTAGGAAACTAAGCTGTCAGCCCAGCATGTGGAGCAATTGAAGGCAGGTGCAGGCCCCTTGGGAGTGAACCTTTGGGGGCCTGGCAGGTGGAGTCCCCTGAGCCAGCATTCCCATTCCAGCTCAGGGGGCAATTGTGCCCTGGCTGGTGCTGTGTGCTGTGTCTGTGCCGTCTCCCAGAGTGCTCCCTCAGATCACTTGCAACACCTTTCAGCCTTGACAAAACACTCAGAAGCATCTGCAAGCCATTCCTCCACAGAAGAACACGAACACTGAGTGCTGTGAGCTTCTGCTCTCTGCCTGCATCGGTCCTGCACCTTCCCATGCTGTTTCCACAGAGAAATGCCTCAGAGTAATTGCAAAGGCCAATGCAGTGTCATCACATTTGGCTTGTTTTATAACTGTCCAGTCTTGTAAAGCACTGGCATTTGGTTAGGTTGGAAGCAGATCACAGTTGGAATAGCATTGCTCCATGTCTCTGGTGAGAAAGGCTGAGCTTTTGTTTATGTTGGTGTTGTCTGCCCTGCAGCTCACAAGGGCTGGGCTGAGACTGGTGATGCTTCAATGCTATGATGCTTTTGGAAGCCTCTCTGGAGGCCTCAAAACATTGAAACTGACCCATACCTCTTCTCCATCTCTCTCGTGTATCAGTTCTTGTCCAAGTCTCTTCTCAGCTGGTACTACAGCCCAGGGACCAGTACTGCAGCTTGGGTACAGAATGGCCTGTTAATCCTGGACACTTTAAGCTCATGGCTTTTGCTTTGTAGAGACAGGTAATGACTGGGCAAGAGAAGCTGCCCTATTAGCTGAAGGCCATGTGACAGTCCTTGGAACTGCTGTCACTGTTGTGTCCACACAGCCTATGAAGTGAGAGGTGAGAAGTCAAGGTGACTGAAGTCAAGGTGGGAGTCAGTCCCTATAGCTGACAGACAATTCTTTGTGACAAGAACCTTGACATTTGTAGACTGTAATTACACAAAGAGACCACGCTGCTAATCTAATCTCACCTTCTGCCTCATTCAGACAAGACCTGTACCTGTAATGTCTGCATCAAGGCTAATAATTCACTGTGAAACTGCAGCACATGCTTTAGGACAACAGAAAATCTTGTTTTAAGAGCTCTAAGGGTGGAGAATAAAACTCTCCCCTACATCATTTGTTCAAATTAGTTCAGATTAAATACTGGTGTTATTGCAAGTTTTAATTTTTAAATAATTGTATCATTTCCAGTTTGATTTTTTCCAGCTTTTAATTTGAGCTTCTGGATCTGGTTATAGTTTTGTTTATTAGCTTTTTGAAGTCCTTTAGCATCTCTCACAGTCCCCTGCTGAGAAATGTTAATAGAGTTAGATCAAATCACCTCCTAACCTTCCCTTCTGTAAACCAAATAGGGAGATGGAAAGACTTCAGCAGCCTGATCTTTCTCGCTCCCTGCAACATCTGGAGCCGACTGATGTGTGAGGTTGAATCAATCATCTGTTCAGAGCGGCATCTGACCACCTATTTGATGATGCTTAAATACACCCCGCGGAAAGTACTTCTTTTACTCGTGGCTGTTTTCTAGACCAAAGCCATGTGTGGACATTTCCCAGTGCCTAAGGCGAGGGGCGAAGGGCCGGAGCCGCGGGCAGGCGGTACCTGCCGTGCCGCAGGGGACGTGCAGCCGCGGCTCCTGCCTCGGGAAACACAGCTTGGCCATTTCACCACCACTGAACTTCACCACTTCATCATCGCAATCGACTTCTTGCTTCCAGTTTTCTGTCGCTTGTTTGCTATTGCCCTCTAGTGGAATAGGATGGCCGGTGGGTTGGCTTCCCAAGCGCTGTTTTCTCCCGTGTCTTATTACACTGGGGCTATCTTCTTGGTTATATGATGTTGCAATATTGTTTACATGGATTTTAACGTACAGCTTTGTTATTCAGTTTTCTTCTATGCAGGAAACAAATAGCTGGTCCCTAACCAGTACCTAATGTGGTGCTGTGTCTGGGAGTAGAACAGACTTCCCTGCTCACCAGTTTTGCTTCAAAAGGAAACTGCAGATGTTCCAGTTTCAGGCTTAGAATAATTCAGCCATGCTGAGTGAGAATTCTCAAGTGAACTTTGTGTATGCTGCCAGCACCCACCAGCCTGGTACAAGGAGTGTCTTCTCTGGAAGCAGAAATACTGCCATTTTACTATTTGTATTTCTATCTGAAGCCTTTGCTTTTATTACAAAGAGTGAACTATTTAAAGCACACTCTTTACAATCAATCATTTCACTTTGTCAGACAAGCCAAATCATTTATTGAACGATCTTGGCTAATCAAAGTCTGTCTTCTTATAGAGATCCTAGAAGATGGTTTATTAATGAGACCTAGATTTTTTTCCTTGGTTGTAATGCAGGGAGATCTTAATAAGCAATGAATTGCTGTGTCTGCAATCACTTTTGAGAGGCTTAAAAGGAAAACAATAATACTATGACTAATATGATTGCTCTCCCTACACTGCCATCCGGCGGATGCAAAATTCATTTCCTTTTGTAAATGTGAAGGGAAATTCTCCTACTGATATCACAGCTTGCAAACTTGGACCAAGCTGATTCTCACTTGTAATGCAATTTCCAGACCAGTGAGGAAAATGTTGGTTATTCTTTAATTTTAGCTGTTTCATATTAGAAAAAGATTTCCAGTCTCTCATCTACAAAAAAAACATCTATCTTGTAATGGAAACCTGTCTGGATCTTGAAAAAGGACTCTGAAAGTGTCCCAGATTCTCTGCTCTCAGTATCTGGCATGGAGAGCCCAAGCCACTGACACTGCTACTGTGCTTGGTTTTGGAAAAAAGGTTGAGCTCTGATGTTGATTTTCAGATAATCAGTGTGTGGGCTGTTAACAGCAGAGCCTAGGGTCAGATGCAGCACTGCATTTTTGATTTGGGGTGGAGAGGTCTGGGGACAAGGATTAAGTCTTTACTTTTTCTCTCTGGGATTGAAGACTGAAATAAATAAAAGCAATTTGTGGTGATCACAACCTCATACCTGCTGGTCTGCAAGTGTGACCTCACAATGAGATGCATCCCAGTGCAGCAAAACTTGCTGACCACCACTGACTGTGTTGGACACTTCACTGTTCCAGAGGAATCTGGAGAAGTGAGTAGTGGGAATGGATGAAGGCAATGTGAAAGACTGAGTCCTTCAGCTGAGCACACAGCTGTTAGGGTTCTGTCATTGCCTGCATCTCTCTGTTTCTGGATCTTACATAAATCAATGCAACAGCTGCAGCAATAAGATTTCCTGTACTTCTGTACAGGAGGGCTGTGGAAGTGGAGCAGAACAGGACTAGTTCTGGCATTTTGGCTGTTGCAGGTGAGCCAGGAAATCAGCAGGAAGTGGCATCCATCCCTTGGAGACACCATAGCCTGTGCTAGTCATGATACCGGTGCTTACATGGGAGCCTTGAGTTTTTCTTTAGAGCCTATCAGCTCCCCAAAGGGATTCTGCAGTGTGGGGTCTTTGGGGCCAGGAAGTCTGGAGGTGAGAAGTCCTGCTGCCTCACAGTGCTGCCAGCATGTTCCAGTCCTGAGTCATTCCCTTGCCTGTTTGCTTTTGGTATTTATTTATTTATCACCGAGGTGTCAGCCCAGAGCAGGCAGACTGTGCTGAGCTCCTTTGGTGGCCTGGTGGCTGCTGCCAGCCCTGTCAGAGTCCTGCAGTGCTGCGAGTGTCTCACCCAGAGGCGAGGGGGAGAGGATCATGTTCCTGTGAGAGCAATGCCACCAGGAGCTCCCACCAGAAGCGTGCCTGGCTCTAGGTAACCAGTGCAGCAGCACAGGGTAAACTACTTTCACCTTCACCACAGAATCCCTGGCTCCCAGATCTGCCCCCTGAACTGGCTGGTGGGGAGAAAGAGGTTAAGAGGTATATCCTTTGCTATAATTATATCCTGTTGCTAGAGATATTGTGCTCTGCTTAAAGAAATCATCATAATGCTGCCTCCCGGAGAAAGTAATTACTGTGCATCTTATGAACGGCTGCATGTGAATGTCTGCTCAAGCTGCTGTCAGCAGCAAGTTTCAACACATCTTACATACCAGGCATTTTACAGCCCTAGTTTTATTTGTTTTCATCACCCCTTGCCTTGTGCTTTAGTTTTCATTAATGGATCTGGGGGGTTTTTGTTTGTATTGGTTTTCTTTTTCTCTTTTTTTTTTTTTTTAAGAGGCCAGAGTTCATGTCTTTGATGGTGCATTTGGGTGGTGGCCACAGCTCTTATTTGCTGCATTTCTATTGCTCTGTAGTAGCTTGAGGGGGACCATCTGGAAGATTTTGTTTCCGATCCATTCCCATATGGTAGGATCTGAGTGGGCCCTGGTTTCCTACTATGATCTCAGGTAAAAAGGACTACACCACTGTTGACAAAACTGGGTGTCACTCTAGAATAACTGTACAGATTTAAGCCCACAAGACAGCCTATTTTTCCTGTTGTACTTTCTGATCTTCTCTCTCATGTTGAAAAAGGGTAGGTGAGGGATATCAGACCTTTGAGCTTTCCAAAACCAATCACCTGCCTGCCTTGGTTGGCAACCAGTGCCCTGAGTGATGGCTAAGGTTTTGGAGGCTCACAGCCTGATCGTTCTGTGCATGGAGATTGCCATGTCTTCAGACCTTCATCCTTTGGCTTTGCAGGGACATTTGAGCCAAAGAGATGGGCCAATACCAAAGAGCCCTGGTTTGTCACAGTAGGAGTGACCCAGCTACTTTTTCTCTCTCAAAGGTCCCTCCCACTTGCTTTTCCCCAGGACTGTGTAATTTGCCTTTGTGCAGGGCCACAGTGTGTGACCATGACATCCTGCATTGCTGTACACACATCCTTTCTATCTCATAGACAGCTCAAGGGAGGATTTGAAACTACTCCTTAAATTTCCTCCTTGTGAAAATGGCTCAGGCTTACTCTTGCAATGCTGAAGCTGAATTATCTTAGTATCCTCACTGATTAATTGTATTTGTGGCCAGTCTTCTGAGTGCATGCTGAGCATCTGCTATGTTGCATCCCAAAGTGCTTCCATCCTGGTTCTGTGTCCATCCCTCTCTGTGATTCTTGGTGAAGCCTGAATGACAGCCTGGCTGCTGGAGGATGGAAGGTGCTATAATAAATGTGAGCTCATAATGTTGTTGTTAAAAATAACTGGAGCTAAATTATAAAGAAAAAAAATCAATCTTATTCTGTCCTAGCCCAAGGGGGAAATGGACATGAGGGATTGGGCAATCCTTCTGTAAGTTCTTTCTTTAAACTATATTTAAACCACATAGAGAGCCAGATTCTCAGCTGGTGTCAATTGTTATTGACTTCAGTGGAGTGAAGCTGGTTTACACAAGTTGAGGCTGCTAAATGCCAGTATTTGGATGAAGCTGAGGCAGCTGGAATTACTTTTGCAGAAAGCTCTAGTCTGATGCTTGTTCAAAAGCTCTGAGCCCTCCTGAGTGTTTGAGCTATCAGTGCTCTGATTTTGCAGTTCTTTTGGGATGTGAATGGCTATGAAAAGACCTTTACCTGGTTCAAAATTTGCGCTGGTCTTAGCTAGGTTCTGCAGCTCTGATGTCTGTCATTATTCTGTAGTCACTGCTTGAGATGGGCTCCTCTGAAAAACTCTGCAAAACCTTTTTTACTTGCTACTCTGCTGGATCATCTCCTGTCTAGACACTCTAATTATGAGAACCAGGGAGCATACAGTGTGATGTGTAGATAAACCTGGATAACTCCAAAGGTATGGAGTGCTGCTTCCATCACTCCCCAGCTGCCCTCCAATGTAGTTTTGCCCATTCGTTGTCTGCTCCAGTATGGACATTAGCAAAGTGGGGACTATACAGTGCCACCTGAATTCATTTGAATTTTGCATTCAGAAGCAAATGTTCCAAGCCATAGAAATGGAGAGGCAAACCTCAAATTGCAGTGAGATCTAACAATAGAGGGTTAGCCTTTCCTATTTCTGTTTTTCAGTATGCCTAAAAAAATCTCTGGATTAAATAAACAACCTCTCCCACCACCACTGTCAGCAGAATGCATTAAATCTATAAGCTGATTTGAGTAATTTTTGTGTACTCATATCCACTCTAATTCCCTTCTTATCCATAGACCTGTATTTTATTTATGCCAGCACAGACTGTATCCAAACTAAACTTCCATCTATTTCAGCATTTTTTTTTAATAAGAGCTTTTAAAGCTACTGATTTTAAAGGAGACTGTCAAATAATCAATACTATATATAATATTGGAATGCATTTTATTGTTTCAGTTGCTGTCCACAGTATGTCACCTCCAGAAATGTGTAATGAGAAAACACCACTTTTTTTCTATTGCCCTTCTTTAATATGTCATCTTTCCTGATTCCTTGCTGTAACTGGTACCAGAGAGAATTGTCTGTAATACTTAGCAAGGCCCCTGGGATTCAGACTCTTTCTCAAGTCTCTGAGCTTGGAGTGCCACACGGGTTTCCATGGGTCTCTGCAGGAGCTGGGGCATGTGAGAATAATCTGTTTGCTGCATTTTGACTGCAAATCAATGTGCTTTGAAGTGATTATAGGGATGGATTTTCCTTTTGCTTTTTTTTCTTGGTGGTAGCTTTTGAAAAATCACCGTATTGGTCCATGGGAGAAGTGCCACCACGCAGCTCCTTTGCTCCAAGGGAGGCAGTGCAGTCTGGCAGTGACATGGGTGAGTGAATGCTCTGGGATGTGCATTTAGGGTCTTTAAAGTCTGGATCAAAACCCATCTTTTTTATGAGTCCTTGTAATGGAAATATGCCATGAGCATGGATGACTTGAAAAAAATTGATAACAAAGAAGGTTAATGAGTGACTTGGGTGAATCTCCCCACTTTGGGCTCTGACAGGAGCTGTTGAGTTTGAGCTGCACAATGCTACCTCTTTGGGAAAATTGCACAGTTTAATTAGAATCTGTTTCCCAACCAATGGAAAAGTCTATCTGGATTCTCTTCTTTTGATGTGAGCTTGGGTTTAATATGAATTCACCTAGGACACATCAGAGTGTATCTTTATAAAGAACAGAATTTGGTGGCTGATGTATTGAAGGAGTGGATCTCCAGTCCTGAGCCCCTAAAGTCAAACTCCAGGTAGGATTTCTAGACAGTCTGTGTGGGGATGACCTCAGCCTGCATTTGGCCAAATCTGAGACTCCAGATGGAGCTGTGGTTCTAGGGCTTTTCTCAAAGGAGACCTGGGAAATACCTGTCAGGCTAGCTCCAGTCCTGTATGAAGTGGGAGCTCATCTTTCTGCTCCCCAGCATTTTCTACTCTCAGCCTGGTGATTTGTTTTGTGTTGGCTTGTTAGACACTTGTTAATATCCCAGAATTTGGTGTGCACATGAACCCAAGGAAAAAGAAATTTCCATGTGAGGAAAACACACTTCTTTCCCTTGTTCTTTTCCCCCCCATCACTGTATCACCGTGTTGGTGTGAATGAGTGCATGCACATTGTGCTTCCGGCACTGGATGCAACTCTCAGCCAGTCCATAACCAGTTCTCCCATGCACCAGGGGGACACAGCCACATCATCCCTTCTCCTTCTGTTGATTTTTAGAATGGATCATCTTTGTTACCTTTTGCATTGCACTGCTACTAAACCTGCAGCAACAGCTGGCATTATTCTGTATGAGACCTGTAGGAAGAGGAGTTTTGTACTTCCTACACTTGGTTTGAAGGTGAGGGTGCCAGGCTGGGTATGCACTGAGCATCCCACTATGGTTATTTTACTCCTTTCCTTGCTGGGGGATATTTCCACAGAACGTACTATGGCAGGCTTTGAACTGATTTCTTGTTCCTTGGTTTATGATGAAATTAGTTCACTTGTTTTATGTAAACTCTCCATGAGATTGTTTACTTTGGCACAGGGATCCATGTGCTTTTCGAGATGCAAGGAATTTAGCTACCGGGAGCTTGTTTGGTTTAGTTTGTTGCATTTGCAAAGCAGATGGTGGAGGGGAAAATGTATGTGTGGAGAGGCTTTAGGACAGGATTTGGCTAATGTTTGCTGCCTCTGTAGTTTTCTTTGTTGTTTTCTGGCTGAAGCAGGATGGGTTTCCACAACAGGGAGAAGGAAGACAACACATAAGAACTGGTCTGCATTTTGCACACGGGGAAAAAAGAAATATAATTTGGATTTAAGCTGTCATTTTGTGGCCATCTTTGCTAAGGTGGTACTTCCAGTTTCTAGGGCTGTTGGAGGTGCAGAAACACCATGGGAACCTTGTACATTGACTTGGCTCTGCTCTCTGGAGCCCTTTGGGCCTCAGCAGACCTCTGAAGCATCAGTGATAGCATTGCTGTGCTGCTGCAGAGCAAAAGAAGGGAAATCTTCAGAGATGTGTGCTCCAGAGCTGGGTGGGGTGAGGCCATCTCCATGACACTGGGCTGTCCTTTCAGTTAATGCATTTAGGTACAGCTCTCTGCTGAAGTGAGAAAGAGCAGTTCTCCTCAGTGGAAAACTGAAGCAGAGAGTAGAGGAGGCAGGACCTATTCAAAGTCCCACAGAGGGTGCCCGAAGGAGAATGAGAGTGGATCCCAGCTCTGCTCAGCCAACTATTTGAGCCTTGTGAGGCAGATCATTTTAGAATATATCAGAGTTTCCCTGTTCCAAGGGCCAAATTAGTGCCAAGTTGCAAGGGATTCTTGTAAGGCTCTGCCATGTCCATTTGTGGTGGGATATGCATGCTGGATTGTAGGGCATTGGGAGAAGTGTCACTTTCCACTGTACTTCCTAACTGAAAGGTTGTCTGTTCTCATGGGCTCTGCCACTCTGCTGAGTGGCTTCACCAAAATCCTCTCAAACCTTCATGTCTTGTCTTTGGGTTTGTTATGGGTGGTAAGCAACTCCCTCTTTGCAAGATCCTCACAGGAAGGATCTCGGAGCGATCAGCCCTAATCAAACTTGGCACTTGCTCAGGGCAGGATCATATTCCCCTGCATTCCTCCATGGATATGGCAGGCAAAGAATCTGTCACCGTGTCTGACGACCTTGCCTGCAGTGCAAAGTGCCAAGAATGCCCCATGCTTTCTCAGGGTGGGGTCTGTCCACCACCAATGGCCAGCAAAGCGTGATGATGGGGTGAGCGTGCGCTGGGATTGCTGGGGCGTTTGCTGGTGGGCTTGGTGGGGGAGGAGCCCACATACCACCACCCAGTTATTTTGGGCAATGGTCTGAGCTGCTGAGCTGGATCTTTCACAGCTTCCTCCAATCTTCTGCCCCTACAGAAACATTTCTCAGGCATTAACGCTTTGTCCATCTAGGTGTCGTGTTTCTGAGAGAGCTCTCTGCTTCCCAGTATGAGCCCAGTGCCTGCTTTTACCCTTCTTCAAATCTCAGAGCTGAAGGGTGGTTATAGGTGCTTGAGCATTTTGCAAGCCTCCATTGACAGAAGGATGGCTTTCTTGTAGGTCAAAGAGTTTTCTGTCTGCTTATTGACCTCTTTTTTACCAAGGCTAGATGGATATCAGTTACATTTGGACAGATGCTGCTGAAGCAACTGGGGACTTCATTAGCAACCATTTAACCTTTGTCCCTTTTAGGTTTTTATGAGCTTGAGAAATCTTATATTCCTCCAATTTCCATATGAAGAAGTTGAAGCATAATGAGTTGCAGTGGTTTGTCCCAAACAAGTCTAACTAGAAAAGTGCTTGAAATTCAAATTTCTTCTTAATCAGGCAGATTCTTGATAAGCGTGTCCTTCTGTTTCTGGTAGTAGAGCCTGCTGGCATTTGTGTGAAGAAAGAGGGCATCTTTCCTAAATGGGAATTACCAGGAGCAGGCAGTCTTATTCTCCTAGTGTCCCCAAAATGAACAAAGAGATGGCTGGAGTAGGAACAAACCATTGTCATGGATGAACCAGCCATGGAGAATAACAAAAGTCAATGTCTTCCTTGAGCAAGATGACTTCTGCCATATGTGCTGTAGCATCTCAGTGCCCTGTTGCAAGGTGTGCCTGAAAGGTGAAATGTAGCCTCCAGACATCACCTCGGAGCAGAGCTCTCCAGGATAGGCTGGATTTTGCCTGGCTTTGCATGTAAGTGTGGTTGCCAACACCTGCACAAAGCAAAGGCAGCACAGACCTGAAGAGCAGCATTGGGTACCTGTTTGGCCATGGCAGGGTGCATGACCAGGTGAAGGTGTGAGCATTTTCACCTGAAGGTGAAAATGATGCTGGAAGGGTTTTCTACTGTGTTTCTACTCCAGCCCTGTGTATCTTTACTCTTCCCCCATCCTGTGTTGGAGCCCAATCTTTCTCATAATTGTCCACCTGGATCAATTACAGATTTAAGCCCTGCAGCCAGCTGTGGGAAGCACAGATGTATGGCAGCATGTCCAGGGATGGCCTGGCCTGCTCAGTGGTCCTGCCTGGAGTCCCATGCTCTTCCCAAACTCTATTTGCAATGCAACTACACTCTAAAGGAGGGGAGCACGTGTAAGACAAGGGAGGTACACCAGTGTGTCTGCATTTTCCTGCCTCTTTCCAGGTTTTTCAATGAAAGAAAAATTAGTTATGTGACCCTTGGTGTTATGGGCTTGCACTTTCCCTCTTGAAACCATAAGATGTGGACTACAGGCCCATGTTGGTAGACACTACACAGTTAGGAAGGAGACCCCTCCTGTCAAGCTTTAGGACTAGATACCATGTAAAAGGCCAAAGCAGGATAGCTCGTGGGTGGAGTAGAGCTGGAAGGAGAAAATGACAGTGCAGTGGAAGGGTGTAGTGGAAAATCAGGAATTGCACCTTGCAACTTGTCTAACCAGGACCCTAGGGGGAAAGTTTCCAGGTGTTGTGGAAGCAGCTTTGCACACCTTTATGGGAAGGTGTTTGGCAAAGAGCTAATTCTCAAACTTTGGTGCATGACACCTCACTTAACCACTGATTGGTGAGTGCTGCAGGACACTGCAGTTCATGGGAAGAGACAGTTAGAAAGGGAGTAAAAGGTAGTCTATAGGAAAGGAGATAATTTCAGGAATCCCTGAGATATCCTTGCCTTGGCTGGCCTTTTCAGACCTTGTGCACTCTCTGGCCTGCCCTTTTGGCTACCTGTTGTGGTATCACTGCAAAACCACTGGTGTGTTTCCACACTTTGGGGACTCCTGTGGTCAGGAGCACAGGACAGGATGTTTATTGGGAAGGGTAGAGGTGAGGAGGACAAATGCATCAGGGATGGTAGGTTGGTAAGAGAAGTGTTGTGGGTCCTGCATAGATTGAAGCTGAAAACTTTGTCATCCGTTTGTGCAGGAGTGTCTGAGGCAGAGGGGATGTGTGTGATGGACAGAAAGGAGGGGTGCCTGCATATGTGCATAAGGAAGTACCTACACCACCTGTTGCAATTGTTTGAATAAGGGAACATTTCCCTGAATTTCTCTTTTGCCACCTGAGAGCCCTTCCCAGGATGCCTTTGCTGAAGTTACTGTTTGATTTCCAGGGCAAATGCAATACACACACACAGAGCCCTATCATGTTCATGCAAACCCACAATCCCATCAGCACATGGCTCCTCTTCCTTTTGCTTTACAGGGAGGGGGGGATGTGGGAGTTGGAATAATGACAGAGCTGATTATAATTAATATTTTTTTTGTGTCTAAAGAGCAAAAGTCCTGCTGAAGTCCCCCAGCTGAGCACAAGCCAAAGTGCTAAATCCCTGTAGGGGTGTGTTTTATTACTGACGCTCTGCGTGTCGAGGCTGGTCGTGGGGTCTGATGCTGTGTGTGTGGAATTTTTGCGGCTATTTTCTATTGTGCCAATGAAAAGCAGGATCCCATCTGTATAATAAAAAGGAAACTTGAAGGTTTCCACGCCTACATGGAGGTGAATGCTTGCAGCATTAGTGTTTTTATTAAGCGTTTTACCTTCGCATGACTTTTCTGTACGATCACGTTGCAAACGATGGAGCAGATGTTACTGGGGCTGGAATATGATGGGAGTCTCAGTGGCCCTTCCACAAAAGGTTTTGGCTACTCCTTGGTTAGGCTGGTCTGTAGCTGGCTTGCTTTATAGTCTCATAATTCTTCACTGGGCATGTGCTGGGTTTGATTCTTCCCTGACTGTTCCTCTTTGAGAAACAGGGCTCTGCCAGAGTGATGGGGACAGGGAGGCACTGATGGCTGCCTGATCCTCTCTTGAACAGCTGGGTGATCTCAGGTCATTTGCTCCCAGGACTGTTTTATTTTGCGTGCCTGATGTCACAGACAAATTAAAGGCTGAGCTGGGTACAGAAGTTGCCCTTAGCCAGGCTGTCTACACAGTGTAGCAGTAGTGAGGAGCCACCCTTCCCAAATCAGTCCAAAGCCACATCCTGCAAGTACTGATCACTTCAGTGGGTTGAAAGAAACCCTCAGCACACACCAAATGGACAGGAGAAAGTGGTTCCCTATGTGACACCTTAGAGGTACCTTTAACTGGGAATAGTAGCAACTGGCTGCAATCCTGCAAGCTCTCAAAGATCATCCGAGCCTTTTGGAGATGAAAATGTGGAGAGCTCCAGGAGTGCTGGCAGCCTGGACTGTCTTCGTACCTGTGCAGCCCTTGGTCACTTCAAGCAAATTTCAGCCATCAGAGTACATGTGTCTCTCCCCTGAGAGAGAGGCTGCCTGGACACAGACCCAAGGAGCTCCCAGCCATCCCTTCTCTCTGTCCCACTCTCCAAGGAGGGGACTGTTGTCTGCTGTAGCTGTGTTTCTCTTGCCACCATAGAACGTGAGAGCATGTTGGGACACAGGCTCACAGGTGGCAGCTCACAGCTTCTGCACCCAGCTTCAAGCTCGTCTTAGGTAAAGAAGAGGATGTTTCCCTATGAGGTAGTTCACTGTCTTTCCCTTTCTATCAGCAGGAATTCCACTGGGAATAGGCTGAACCACACCAGCCTTGGTGGCTGCTGCCACCATTCCAGGATGGGTGTCTCTTCATCTCCCACACAGCTGGCCCATGTACTGCTGTTGCTCAACCTCCTCCTTTCTGCCCTTTTGGCAATGATGTGGACAAAAACAGCCTATAAATCTGTTCAGATTGTGAGCTTCAGTGTCTGACCCTGGATCTCTAGTCTGTACTTGTAATACCTGCAGCTCCAATGGGATCTGCCATCCAGGGGTGAGATGCTTTGGGCTTTGAACTTTGCACCAAAAAATACATTCAGCTGTTTGACAGAGGTCTGTGGTTTTCTCTGAAACTTTATTATTATTTTCACTGGATATTTTTTGACCTTCCAAATCCTGGTTTTTTTTCTCCTCTCCCCCAGAAGAGCATGCTCAGCAGCTAAAGGAGAAAGCTGGCTGGAGCATGCAGACTGTGAGCAGTGTAGGAGCTTCTGGGAGAGAGGAAGGGTATCAGGAGGACTGTGACACAGCACGTGGCTCCTGCCCTCAATTAGCCTGTGTGGCCATCACTGTTGAAACAAAAGCACAGCAGGTCTCCAAGGAGTTTCTCTTGTGGGTCTTGCTGAATTTATAAGCTGGGACCACAGTATAACTTAATTTCCTGAAATGTCAAGTGGCTTAAACTGGCTGCCTGCTCTACTGGTGTTGGTTTGTTTTGCTTTTTTTTTTAATGCACACATTGTACTTCTATTTCCTGAAAAAAAAATCCTATCAGTGTTTGATGATTGCTTAATAAGAGAAATCAGTAAGCGCATGGAAAGTTCACATCCTGCAGATGAATATAACGACTATAAGCTTTCTTCTGGGTTGCCAGGGGTTGGCAGCTTTTTTGGTTGTGGTTTGATTTATTTGTATTTTTATCCTTCCAGCTGAGAACATTGATCTGAAGCTGTATCCTGAAATGCTGAGACCATTGGTGAGCTGTAGGAGGCCTTCAGCAACCACCAGCTTTACTCCAAAAGGAAAAGGTAGAATTTCCTGGATGAGCAAACTGGGAGAAGGTCTATCAAACTGGGAAATGTAACAATGTTGAGGACAAAACTGTCATGTGTTCACTACCTGTCTTGTGACAGATTATGGGTTTTGTTTGATTTTGCAAGAGAAGAGGGCTTATATAATTGTATTGTGTGTGTGAATTCTTAGGAAGGTGACTATAAGGCTTGCAGGCAAGCCTGAAGGGTCCCAAATGGATCTGTTGTTATTTTTTATATCTCTGTTTCTAGATAAGCCTTTGTATTATTTCACAGGTGTGATTTCTGAGTCCTGTTACCTCTTTATTCAAGATCAGTCTGCATTTATAGGGAACCTGACAGAAAATTTAAAGAGCCTTTTCTTCATGTTAATTTTCATTACTAACTCTCCTCTGTCTAGAGCTTTCTCACTTCAAAGTGCTGTGCAGTCCATCAGCTAAGTGCACAGCCCAGGTGAATGGGGGTAAATAAAACTCCCTGCCATTCGTAAGGCTTGAGAATTTTTCGTAAGTCTGAGTGTGATGTTGAGCAGAGAGCCACAGAGAGCCACCTATTGGGAAATATTTGGCAGAGGGACTGACTGACAATTTAGACTGTCTGAACACAAGCCTGAAAGGAAAATTTTGTGTTGTGACTGCTTGCTTTCCAAACATCTCTCGCAATTTGTGTCCTCTCCCAGCTCTGTTTCATGGTTCTCATCTCCTTTCCTCACACAAGACCATGGTTTCCCAGGCTCTGGGGAAGAAAAGAACTAACCAGAAATTGTAATGGAAACCCTTGACTGATTAGGTGTCAGGAACTTATTGAAAATAATGCAATTTTTATGCCACTTCTTATATTTTAGAACCCAAGGACCAGTAAGAGAGAAAATGGTCAAGCAAAAATAAAAAAAAAACAAAACATAATGAGCATTTTAATCCTTAAATGATAATAAGACTTGGTCTGGAGCTGAGGAGTGCACCAGCTTTTTTTGAGAAGGAGCAAAGCACATTTTCTCATCACACCACAGGCACAGGAATATTCTTTTGTTTGGCTGTTTCCCATCTCAGGGCCTTATATACCCCATAGCCAGGAGTATCATCTGATTACACAGTAATGTCCTGGTTCCCTAAATATTGGAGACTATTAAGACACTGAAGTAAATGAACTTTGGGGTAGGATACTGCCTGTTGCAGAGGAGAGATTTGTTAATTTTTCATTGTTGGGTCCTGGTGTCATCCCTTTGTGTGTATGTGTGCACACTCCTGGGTGTATAAAGCACTAACGTCTAATCACATTCCACAGGAGGCAATTTGAGATGATTTAAAAAAAAAAAGTTATATTTACTTATTTTTAAGGAGTGTCATTGCAAGCAGGCAATTCTAGCATGGCAAAGCTTAGACAAGGTGTTATGAAAGAAAAAATATCAGTCAAACCCCAGAATTTTGGGTATAGTCATGTGACTGATCTGCAGTTGTCCTCTGGCTGTTCAGGAGCCTTTTCAGCTCAAGGAGAGACTCTTTTTACTGTCACAGAGGGTGAAGGATGTTATTATAGGCTACCCAAGCCAAGGAAAGAGAGAAGTTTTGTCTTCACAGATAAACCATTTCCTTAGGGGCCTAGTCCCACAGGCATCCTCTGCCCCAAATGAGTTGGGAGCAGCTCTTGGTGGGAGAAGCCAGCTGAGGTCACCCACGAGCATTGCAAGAGGCTCCCTTGTCTCCCCACCCCAAGGGGCTGAGATATTTAGACAGCTGCCTCACTATGAATGGGACTCTCTGGCAAAAGAATTAAGCAAAGATTAAAATCAGTTTTAGCTGTTAAATGTGTTCTTTGCGCAGCATTTAGCAACTAAAGGGCTAATTATCTTTGAACTTATGCACATGGTTTTAGATGTGATCCACACAAGTTGATACTTTTTTTCTTTTGTCTATAAGGAGCTGAAAATCAGGATGAAAATGAGATGCTGGTGTCAGTAAGGGCACAGCTTTGTGAGTAGGCTGGAGGCAGTGCCTGGTCTGCAGGGAAATAAGGCACCTACTGAATGAGAATAGGTTAAAAAAATTACTTTAACACTTGTCATTTAAACTCTTCTGTTTAATGAAGTTCATGCTCTTGATTACAGAAATAGGAGCGTGCATGAAGGTAGGAAAATTGGACTGCTCTGAGAGAAAGCCAAGTTCCTAGCTGGAGGGAAAATTTACTCTGGATGTTGATGCTTGCAGGGCACAGAGAGTGAAATCTGGGAGGTGAAGGGCACTGCAAGACTACATAGGTCAGTGCAGAGCAAATCAGATTGAGTTTCAGAAAGTGCTGCAGGGAGATGAGGAGGAATTTGATGCTGAGTTGTAATAAAATGGGGAGAGGGGCTCCATGTCCCTGTGCAGCCTGGGTGCTTTGGAAAGCTGCTCAAGGCTCAAGATAGCCATGTCAATGAAAATACAGACAATGGGAAGAGGTAACATGGTTACCGTGGTGCCATTTAAAAACCCTTTAGGGAAGCAAGTAAGCATTTACAAATGGTGATCAAAAATTCTGGATCTTCCTATCTATGAGCCAAATCATGACTCAAGACAAACTTTCTTCAACTTGTTTTCATTTTTTAATGTTTAGATTATCCTTAAATTATATTTCAAGTTTCTTTCTAAACCATAAAGCATGCAATTGTTACAGGGGTGGATCCAGTAATCAAAAGTGAGGTTTTCATACAGCCACTAAAGGAGGGCTGATTGGAAGCCTTTTCTTGCATGGCCTTGTCACAGAGTTGAAGAAATCCCTCTTGCTCCCTGTAACCAGCTCTCTCCTTGCCTAAACACTCCAGATCATGTGGTTGCTTGAAATGATGTTTTTCAAATTTCTTTTCCCTGGACTCTGTGATCTGTCCACACGTTTCTTGAAGGGTGAGGGAGGCTACAGGCAATCCACCAGTCGAGAGCTTACCTGTGATGAGCAGACAGGAAGGATACCTTTACAAGCACAGTATCTTGCACTGATTTTTACTAAATTAAACCTCCCCACCCCCAATTTTCCCAAAGAATCAAGATGATTTTGACTTTTGATCTGCTCTTCTATATAATGTCAGCTCATCTTAGCTTTTTTTTTGCCTGCAAAAGTGGCATACATATTGTGAATTAATTAATATGATTTTTCTTTATGAAACTATTGAATGGAACTAATTTCCCAGATCAAAGCTGTCAAGCAGAATACCCACAATGATGTGACTTATGAAATGCTTATCAGGTGTACCAGCTACAACATTTTTGCTCTGTTTAGGAGATTAATAGTTATTTTTCTCTTATTCTTTCTGTTTCATAAAAGCATCTTATGGGGGGGAAAAAATGTTGGTAGAAAGTAGTTACAGAGATGTCTTGGGTCCAGAGTTCAGACCATCTGAGATCAGCTCAGACCTTCTAAAATCATGTACAGGTGTACATGATAGAGCCTGGCCCTCTGCAGTTTGTCATACTTCTGTTTTGTCACATGTAGGGTGTGGATCAATAAAGTTAGTTCTGTTAGCAGTGGTGAGGGTTCCTGCACTGATGTCAGAGAACCAATGCTAAGAAAAGGCCAGATTCAAGAAAATGTCAACAAGAACTTTTTGCTTCGGTGATGGGCCAGGCATGAATTATAGGAGTATAATACTATACTAATACTATACTAATAAAACTATGATTTATGAAGTGAAAGGTATGGATTATGCATTTGAGAAACCCATTAAGGGTTAGTAACATGCCTTAACAGAGGAAAGATCTCCAGCTCCAGCAGCTTTGATTTGAAGGTATCACAGGAAAACCAATTTCTTCTAGCAATTTAACAATGCAAATAGGTCCTAAGGTGATGATGAGAAGATGAATATGTTACCCAGAGTAGGACTGAGCAGCAGCAAAGCGTTGGTGTGGCAAGGTTCACAAAGGCAGCTTTGAATGACAAACAGCAGTTTGGGCAAGAGGTTTTCACAGCCAGAAGAGGTTAGAAATCTCTGCACAGGACAAGTTCCTGATGACTGCACTTTCTGCCCTTTTTTCCATGGCTCTGCTGGTTGCCTACCACCTTGGAGAGGTGCTGCAGGCACTTTCTAGTGGGCCTATGTCATTGGTCAGAGATCTCTGTGTATGTAAAATCAGGGAGACATCCATACCATCCCTGCACAACTGATGTTTGTAGATGATGGGTGAGGCAGTGATGTCTCAGGGAGCTACACTGCCTTAGGCTATGATCTCATAAGTTAAGCAGGGTTGGGCCTGTTTGTTTTTGGTTGGGGACTTAGAAGGAGAAGTTGATTGCTACAGTCAATTTGACTTGGTAATTCAGAAGGTGGTGCTCTTCCCCCTAGGTAGCTCAGGCTGACATGCCAGAATGATTAGGCTCACCACAGCTCCTAACCTTTTAGAAAAAATGTAAACCCAACATCCTCACCTTTCCAGATTGAACATCACGGGACTCCTGTTATTACCCCAAAGTCCCAACCAAATTCCATCTCAAAGCAACCACACCCTGCAGATGGAGATCCACCCTGCCCTTCCAGGAGGATGCAGCAAACTTTGCTTTCCCTGCTGGGTTGCATGGTACCTCCAGCCAAACTGCTGCAGAGCTCAGGACAGATGGCAGCAGTACTACTGGGGCAGGCAGCAAATGCCCTCTCAATTAACCTGTACAAGTGTCCACACTGTGAAAGGACTGTTTAAATGGGAATTGTTTTCCCACCAGTATGGATTTTGGAAGCCTTGGTGATAGCTGGTTTGAGCAATGGCCTCCTTGTGCTGAATATAGCAGCTGGTGCCTCTCTCTGTTTTGCCTTTGTCTCTTCCTACTGCAGCCTGGTGCCAGGCTCTCACAGCACAGGCACACAGCTGCCCACTGCCCTCTTAGAGGGACAAAGAAAATTTTCTTAATTGTTTTGCACACCTCTTCATATTCCAGTGTGGCTACTTGGGCCAGATTCTGGAGTGAGGTAAGTTATTTAGCAGTATGTAGGTGTAAAGTGCAGCAATTTTCTGTTCTGAGTGGGTGGTAAGGTA